GCACTGCATATTTTGCACTAAAATAAGATCAAACTATAAATTAGGTTTCTTTAAACTAAGAAATGTATATGATTGGGAAAAGGTTTGTGCTGTGGCAGTTTTAGTAGCATTAAGAAAGAATTGTGTGAAAAGATAATCTTGGTTATGAGAGTCTGACGTAGATGTACCTCTATGGTGTGGTCGATGGAAACTTAATCTGAAGAGAACGTTCACTGTCCTTTTTGCTTTTCATGCACACTTCGAATCAAACAAGACTGCTGTCATTTTATTTATCAGACATACCCATACAACAGCTCCTCCAGTTCCAAAATGCAAATATGATGAAAATTAAAGTGATGGCAGTTTGTGAGAAACTTTGACAGACAGTCAACAGACTTCAGATATTTACTCGCACAACTGCTCCTCCAACAAAAACATTTCCAAAACAGCCGCATGCCTGCATGCCTGCATCGGTCTCCTTAACAAACTTTATGAACTTAGACTAGTATCACCCTCGCCATTTGCGCATTGCTGAATAGGATCCGCAGCAGTTGCATCTGGTGACTTCTGTTACAAAAACCATAACATTTTTATGAGTTTATATTTTTGTCAGGCGATATTCATCCAAACAGAGTGTTGGAATACAGCGTTTACACAATTCCAATTTGGGTACATCTGACTGAATCTAATTTAGACTTCATTTGAAATTACATTTGAGATGATTTTTTTTTTTTTTGATGATGATGATGGTGCTCATAGATTTTAAAAAACAAAGATATTTTCAACATATTCCAGCATTCCAGGGACATCCGTCATTGTGGGATGCTGTATTGGGTGTGACAGCCCCCTCATTGATTTGATAACACACAGTGAAGGTACAGGACATGCAGTGTTGATGACCATCACCTACTCTATGTGACTCTATTCATGTTTGGCATATTAAAGGCACCAACAATCGCAGACATCAAAAACGCCTACAGGTTGCAGAAAATACCTGTAGACTGTCCAGTGAGTGAGAGAGAGCCGATATAAGCTGAAGGAGTATATACAGTCAACAGGCACTTAAAAATAATAACAAAACATATTTGCTTACCTTTTTTCCTTCCTTTGTGTGGCATGGAAATATGTAAGAGAGAGATATGAAGTTGAGCTAAAGCATGAATCCATTGAATTTCTTATAGTTCCCCTACAGGAAAAAAACACCCTTTAAAAGAAAAAAAGGGATCCTGACTGTTCAACGAGGTCCTCATCTTTAGCGTCACATACTCAGAAGGAAACTCGCATACATGTACGCATGTATTCGATGGAGGTTCTTATCTAAAGCCTGCAGATTATATGCTAACACCTCAGAATGTTCCATCAGCGAGTGTTTGTCTGACGTTTCAGTAATCTTCAGCACTGCCGTGGTCATCCTCGTGTGTCCAGAGATTCCCTAATGTTCCGGTGCGCCGCCTCGTCTCTTTGAACATTTAAAAAACTGCTCTCTCTTCTCTCTCCTTTTTTTTTCTCTCTCTCTCACCCTTGTCTGCTATCTGATCTTAGCTGCAGTTTTTCAACACCCCCCTCTCTTTCTCTCTCATTGCTCCCTCCCTCTCTGAAGTTGGCATTTGCAGGGACCACAGTCTCACCGATGCTCTTGAAAAGCAGCCTGGTGGTCATGGACAAAACCAAAATAAGAACATTTTACTCCCCTCTACGTTGGCTGGATTGACTAAATGTGTTCTCGTGAGTCTGTGAAACCAAATCCTAAAGATCTTTTGGTTTGAATGGTTTTGTCCTGTTTTCTCTTAGTTTTGAACTGGGATTTGTGGACACAGTTTTTCATAGTGTTTGCATAAGGGTTGGTGTGTTTGTGTGTGGGATTGTAAGAAGAACATGTTCTTGGATGAATAATCGTTCTAAAGAGGCTGGCTCTTTGGTCTGGGTTGCACACACAAGGATGCTGACAGAACCAGGACATTTGCCTCCACAAATAAGCACAAACGAACAGATGTATATATGCTCATCTGTCATGCTGGCTAATTAATCTGACTCCTACCTGTGTGTGTGTCTGTGTGTGTGCGTGTGTGTGTGTGTGGTGTTACAAGTGTCTGACAGTTTCGATAGATAGATAGATAGATAGATAGATAGATAGATAGATAGATAGATAGATAGATAGATAGATAGATAGATAGATAGATAGATAGATAGATAGATAGATAGATAGATAGATAGATAGATAGATAGATAGATAGATAGATAGATAGATAGATAGATAGTAAACATACTAAGGCTCACGCTGTGATGTCAGCTTGGGTTGCAGTGGCTAGTCCTGATACTGTTTCATGTTGTGCATTGCTTGCTATGTTTGGAACTGATCTACAAGGACTGCTATTGATCTGCTATCGAACGAGGGGCTGAGAAGTTTACTGTAAACAACAAACGGTTCAAGTGAGTTATCAATGAAATGTAAAGAAACTACTTTAAGCCATGCATTATACACTACTGTTCAAAAGTTTGTGTTGGTTAGATTTAAAAAAAAAAAAGTTGCTCAGTGCTCACCAAGGCTTTGTTTTAGAAACACAGTAAAAACAGGGAATATTGTGTGTAGTAGTATTATTACAATTTAAAATAACAAATTATTTGAATATTATTGGAACATTATTTGATAAAAAGAGTTTTGCAAACACAAAAAAAAGGTTCAGACAAAAATCAAAAATGTATCTGACTGTGATTTAACCAGCCAATCAGGTCTAAGAAAAAGAAAAAAAAACACCTTTTACTTGCAGAATGGTGTAGTTAAAGCATATAAGCTCTAGATCATTAATTATAAATTATAATTTATTACAGCACACCTAATTAGGACAACGGTAATTCAGCCATTACACAATTTCTCATTTATTCTGCACAAAGCTATGAAGACTTTTGTCATTCCAGGGTGTCAAGTGTTTGTGTGCATGTGATTTTGTTGTAATA